ACCTCTCACATACTCCTCGTCCTCTCTCTCCCTACTCCTCTCCGTCTCCTCTCCTACGTCCCTCCTAATATACTGAGAAGAGAAGCGCGAGGAGAGCGAAGAAGGCAGCAGAGGAAGAGAAGGGAAGGAAAGAGAAGTAGAAGAGAAGAGAAGAGAAGAGCGACGAAGAAGAGCAGGAAAGAAGAGAGAAGAAGAAGGAAGAAGAAGAGAAGAGCAGGGCAAGGGAGGAATAGGAGAGGACAGAGAAGAGAAGAGTAAGAGAAGAGGTGAGAAAAGACGAAGCAAGAAGAGAAGAGAAGAGAGGAGACGAGATAAGAGAAGGGGAAAGGGAAGAGCAGAGAAGCGAAGCGAAGAGAAGAGAAGGAGATAGAGAAGAGAAGGGGATAGAGAGAAGTGAGGAGAGAAGAGGAAGAGAAGAGAAGAGAAGAGAAGAGAACCTCCTTCTCCTCTACTCTACTCGTCCTCTCCTTCCTCTCTCTCATCTCTTCTCTCTCCTATCCTGTCTCCTCTCCTCTGCTCGGCTTGGCCTGCAGAGTGGCTCCTTGTTATCTGAGCTCGGGGTAGAAGTGTGTCTCTGTTATTATGGACAGGTGAGTCTGCTGTCTCCTATCACTATTCATTCTTATGAAGTCAGTTTGTCCTTCATCATCAGCATCATTTTTTTTTTTTAATGAATTCCTCCACTCTAGTGTTAGACTGTAACGTATTCACTTATGCTATCTTGACTCCCATAAACTATTTTGCAATTAATTAAAGCTATTGAAACCACAGAGGTAATAGGTACCTAGGCCGCGACCGGGAGACCCATGGGGCGGCGCACAATTGGCCCAGCGTCGTCCAGGGTAGGGGAGGGAATGGCCGGCAGGGATGTAGCTCAGTTGATAGAGCATGGCGTTTGCAACGCCAGGGTTGTGGGTTCGATTCCCACGGGGGGCCAGTATAAAAAAAAAAAATATATATAAAAAAAATATGTAATCACTAACTGTAAGTCGCTCTGGATAAGAGCGTCTACTAAAATGACTAAAAATGTTTAAAAAAAAATGTAGGTAATAAATACACTGAGTGTACAAAACATTAAGAACACTCTTTCCATGACATAGACTGACCAGGTGAAAGCTATGATCCCTTATTGATGTCACCTGTTAAATCCACTTCAATCAGTGTAGATGAAGGGGAGGAGACAGGTTAAAGAAGGATTTTTAAGCCTTGAGACATTGAGACAAGGATTGTGTATGTGTGCCATTCAGAGGGTGAATGGGAAAGACAAAATATTTAAGTGCCTTTGAACGGGGTATGGTAGTAGGTGCCAGGCGCACCAGTTTGTGTCAAGAACTGCAACGCTGCTGGGTTTTTCACGCTCAACAGTTTCCTGTGTATATCAAGAATGGTCCACCAACCAAAGGACATCCAGCCAACTTGACACAGCTGTGGGAAGCATTAGAGTCAACATGGGGCCAGCATCCCAGTGGAACGCTTTCGACACCTTGTGGAGTCCATGCCCCGACGTATTGAGGCTTTTCTGAGGGCAAAAGGGTGCCACTCGATATTAGGACAGTGTTCTTAATGTTTGGTACAATGCTTGTGTTGTCACCCACTTTCATGACCAACATTGTCCATAGTTTTAATACAGGATGGATGAGTACTGCAGCCACATTGATTGTTTGTTCTTCTAGTACACCATCCAAGGTTAATGACAGCCCTTTTTTAGGTCGGTTGACTATCTTACACTGATAAGATCACCGCTGACTTGTAGATTACTGTGTTCAGTTATGTTTGAAACAGATATGAAATCGAAAAAAGACACTCAATTTGCAATACCATGCCAATACTATTACATCGTATGATACACTCAGCCTATGTTTACACCCAGTCATTATTGTATGATACACCTATGTAACCCAATCAACAGCCCTCGGGTTGAAAAAGGTCACTGAAAAACATAGAAATCGTTCACACTGAGTCTGTCAGTGCTTGGCGAGACATGTTCTGCAGCCACCACATATAACCACTGAGGATCTCCTCCTGTGCAGGTTCAGAGCTGTTTTCCCGTAGTGGCCGATTCCCTCCCGTCAAGAGATCACCAATACAACATATGTCTCGGAGATTTATAGCACCTCTCCTCCACAGCCAGTTAGAGTCAGCACAAGAGTCCTGTAGCATTGCCAACACATCGTCATGGTGTCCTCTCTCTGTATTAACCCTAGTTTATGGATGGATGGATGGAGCCAGGACAGTGATGTATTAACCCTAGTTTATGGATGGATGGATGGAGCCAGGACAGTGATGTATTAACCCTAGTTTATGGATGGATGGATGGAGCCAGGACAGTGATGTATTAACCCTAGTTTATGGATGGATGGATGGAGCCAGGACAGTGATGTATTAACCCTAGTTTATGGATGGATGGATGGAGCCAGGACAGTGATGTATTAACCCTAGTTTATGGATGGATGGATGGAGCCAGGACAGTGATGTATTAACCCTAGTTTATGGATGGATGGATGGAGCCAGGACAGTGATGTATTAACCCTAGTTTATGGATGGATGGATGGAGCCAGGACAGTGATGTATTAACCCTAGTTTATGGATGGATGGATGGAGCCAGGACAGTGATGTATTAACCCTAGTTTATGGATGGATGTATGGAGCCAGGACAGTGATGTATTAACCCTAGTTTATGGATGGATGGGATGGAGCCAGGACAGTGATGTATTAACCCTAGTTTATGGATGGATGGATGGAGCCAGGACAGTGATGTATTAACCCTAGTTTATGGATGGATGGATGGAGCCAGGACAGTGATGTATTAACCCTAGTTTATGGATGGATGGAGCCAGGACAGTGATGTATTAACCCTAGTTTATGGATGGATGTATGGAGCCAGGACAGTGATGTATTAACCCTAGTTTATGGATGGATGGATGGAGCCAGGACAGTGATGTATTAACCCTAGTTTATGGATGGATGTATGGAGCCAGGACAGTGATGTATTAACCCTAGTTTATGGATGGATGGGATGGAGCCAGGACAGTGATGTATTAACCCTAGTTTATGGATGGATGGATGGAGCCAGGACAGTGATGTATTAACCCTAGTTTATGGATGGATGGATGGAGCCAGGACAGTGATGTATTAACCCTAGTTTATGGATGGATGGAGCCAGGACAGTGATGTATTAACCCTAGTTTATGGATGGATGTATGGAGCCAGGACAGTGATGTATTAACCCTAGTTTATGGATGGATGGATGGAGCCAGGACAGTGATGTATTAACCCTAGTTTATGGATGGATGTATGGAGCCAGGACAGTGATGTATTAACCCTAGTTTATGGATGGATGGATGGAGCCAGGACAGTGATGTATTAACCCTAGTTTATGGATGGATGGATGGAGCCAGGACAGTGATGTATTAACCCTAGTTTATGGATGGATGGATGGAGCCAGGACAGTGATGCCCTCGGCTGTTGAGGGTTGAGTCTATATTATTATAAATATATATATATATATATATTTTTTTTTAAAATATATATTTATATATATATATATATATATATATAGTGCACCTACTGGCCCTGGTCAAAAGTAGTGCACTACATAGGGAATAGTGTGCTATTTGAGACTCAGACCTAGATAGCCTGGAGATGCATATGGAGGAAGCAGGCAGGGTAGTTGTTTGACTGTGAGCCATAGTATCAATAAATAGGTCCAGGTGCTGCTCCCTTTAACGGAGCTTTATCACACTACGGGTAAATGACTGAACTACATGCAGACCACGTCTTCAGGTGACTGAACTACATGCAGACCACGTCTTCAGGTGACTGAACTACATGCAGACCACGTCTTCAGGTGACTGAACTATATGCAGACCACGTCTTCAGGTGACTGAACTATATGCAGACCACGTCTTCAGGTGACTGAACTATATGCAGACCACGTCTTCAGGTGACTGAACTATATGCAGACCACGTCTTCAGGTGACTGAACTATATGCAGACCACGTCTTCAGGTGACTGAACTAAATGCAGACCACGTCTTCAGGTGACTGAACTATATGCAGACCACGTCTTCAGGTGACTGAACTATATGCAGACCACGTCTTCAGGTGACTGAACTATATGCAGACCACGTCTTCAGGTGACTGAACTATATGCAGACCACGTCTTCAGGTGACTGAACTCTATGCAGACCACGTCTTCAGGTGACTGAACTCTATGCAGACCACATCTTCAGGTGACTGAACTATATGCAGACCACATCTTCAGGTGACTGAACTATATGCAGACCACATCTTCAGGTGACTGAACTATATGCAGACCACGTCTTCAGGTGACTGAACTATATGCAGACCACGTCTTCAGGTGACTGAACTCTATGCAGACCACGTCTTCAGGTGACTGAACTATATGCAGACCACGTCTTCAGGTGACTGAACTCTATGCAGACCACGTCTTCAGGTGACTGAACTATATGCAGACCACGTCTTCAGGTGTAAAAGCTAAATAATCTGTCCTCTTTGAGTAATTGTAGTTAAAAATATGGTGTTTTCAGGTGTGGTTCTTAAGATCAAAAGGTGATAGGATTAGATGTGAAGAATAACTTAATTTTTCCTTCGGGAACTTCATTTGTGAGAGTCAAGACAGTGATGTTGTAATATATGATATCTTATTTTTTATTTAATTTAATTTTTTAGTCATTTAGCAGACGCTCTTATCCAGAGCGACTTACAGTTAGTGAATACATATATATATATTTTTTTATACTGGCCCCCCCCGTGGGAATCAAACCCACAACACTGGCGTTGCAAACGCCATGCTCTACCAACTGAGCTACATCCCTGCCAGCCATTCCCTCCCCTACCCTGGACGACGCTGGGCCAATTTTGCGCCGCCCCATGGGGCTATAGTCTTATAACTGGCTATAGTTGATGCTGGATGAACAGAGGCACACTCAGTGTTCTGCAGAGGATTCAAAACTCATCTATTATCATTCTATTTTACAGAACTCTGAAACTCTTCCATCTGTGACCAGTCCCAACGCTCCTGTCACCGGCTACAAGCGTATGGTCATCCCCACCCAGCCTCCTCTGACGGCCACTAAGAAGTCAACTCCCAAGGCCGGGGCCCCAGGCGGAACGCTGCCCCGGCCCCAAGCGGAGAGCTCCTCCTCCGCTCCCCTCTCCTCTGCCTCCCCAGTGGCCAGGCCTCAGTTCCAGACGGCGCCCCAGCCAGTCCCGGCCTCCTACGCCACCGCCTCCACCCCCAGCCAGCCCACCTTCAACGTACAGGTACGCAATCCTGGCTGCTATCCATACCCTGTCGTTGTGCCCCTGAGCAAGGACCTGCACTTAAAGGGATACTTCAGGATTTTGGCAATAATCCCCAGAGTCAGATGAACTGGTGGATACCATTTTTATGTCTCCGTGTCCAGTATGAAGTAAGTTAGAGGTAGTTTCTCGAGCCAATGCTAACTAGCGTTAGCTCAATGACTGGAAGTCTATGGGTATCGGCTAGCATGCTAGATAAAGGGCCTCACTGCCAAAATCCCGAAGTATTACTTTAACCCCTAAAACTGCTCCAGGGGTGGTGCGCTGCAGCTGATCATTTCCTTCAACCTTTGTGTGTGTGCTTGCGGGGGTTGGGTAAAAAGACACATTTCAGTTTTGAGTCCCAAATGGCACCCTATACCCAATATAGTGCACTGATTTTCACCAAAGCCCTATGGGGAATAGGTTTCTATTTGAGACACAACCAGTGTCTCTGTGACAGCTGACAATGAAGTAATGTTCTTCTTCTCCCCAGGTGAGGTCTGCCCAACCCGGTCCCCAGCACCAGTCCCCAGGACCCCCTCAGCAGTTTGCCCAACAGCCTATCCAGAGCCTAACCCAGGTCCAGTACATGTCTTCTTCTTCTGTTACAGAGAGGGAAATTCCGCTCCTTGTCGGTGTTTATGCTTTACTATAGCCGGCTAGGAAACAGATAGGGAGATAGAAATGGGAGGAGACAGAGGAGGAAGAGAAGAATGGAATGAACCCCGGTGTCCCATGGGGAAGTATATGTGTTAGAGCTGTGAGTGTTAAACCATTTGAGCACGTCTCTTCACAGCTCCAGTATATGGCCACTCAGCCACGAGGCCCGGACTTCGCCTACGGTCCCCCTCAGCCAGGCTTCGCCCCACAAGGTGCCTACTCACCCGGACTTTTCACACAACATTAACACACACTGTCCATTTGCAAATCTACCATGTTCCATTTCACGACATGTTATCTGAAATTACTTGACAACCTGTGTCCAATACGTTTTAAATGTATTTAGGAACTAGTAAAATGCACCAAACTAGCTTTTCCGGTGTTTGTTAAAACGAAGACTAGTAGAAAGCATTTTTTATTTTAACAATCTAATTTGTGCTACAATGTCATGCGTTATCGGTGTAAGTATTGTATATGTCAACACATGTTTTAACACGTACATGACATTTCTGGTAGGGTACCCAGAGCAGGCCTACCCTGGAGCAGGAGGGTACGGGGGAGTACCAGGGAACACCTGGAGGCCAGAGCCTAGCTACCTCCCTGCTCCTACCCAGCAGGGCTACCCACAACCTGTCCCTAAGAAGACCTACATCACAGACCCTCCTGCCAGCCTGGTTCCTCCTGCACACCTCGCCCCACAGAAGGTAAGAACTGTGCCCTGTGGCTTTATACACTGGGATGGAAATGTTAGGCTGTGAGTTATACTAGCAGGTGTAAAGTTCGGGTCCATGTTGCCTGAGGCCAAATTTGAGGGATATTTATTACAGACACATGACCCTCGGGTTGAAAATAACACGCACGTTACATCAATAAGGCCTCCTCACAGAGACACCTTCTACATGTTCTCCCAGGTCCGTAACACAGGAGACCTGAAGCCCCACCACATAGCACCCAAACATATCCATTTCCCCTATGTCAGGTGCAGCTCATCACCTGTGATCAGAGATAGAGGGAACAAAGAGAGAATAACATGATGGTACAACAAAATGACATCACATCCTCTCATTCATACATCTACTGAAGGGTAACAGATAACGTGTACGAAGGTGTCTCTGTGAGGAGGCCTTATTGATGTAACATGTATGAAGGTGTCTCTGTGAGGAGGCCTTATTGATGTAACATGTAGAAGGTGTCTCTGTGAGGAGGCCTTATTGATGTAACGTGTAGAAGGTGTCTCTGTGAGGAGGCCTTATTGATGTAACATGTAGAAGGTGTCTCTATGAGGAGGCCTTATTGATGTAACGTGTAGAAGGTGTCTCTGTGAGGAGGCCTTATTGATGTAACATGTAGAAGGTGTCTCTATGAGGAGGCCTTATTGATGTAACGTGTAGAAGGTGTCTCTGTGAGGAGGCCTTATTGATGTAACATGTAGAAGGTGTCTCTGTGAGGAGGCCTTATTGATGTAACGTGTATGAAGGTGTCTCTGTGAGGAGGCCTTATTGATGTAACATGTAGAAGGTGTCTCTGTGAGGAGGCCTTATTGATGTAACATGTAGAAGGTGTCTCTGTGAGGAGGCCTTATTGATGTAACATGTAGAAGGTGTCTCTGTGAGGAGGCCTTATTGATGTAACGTTAGAAGGTGTCTCTGTGAGGAGGCTTTATTGATGTAAACATGTAGAAGGTTGTTCTCTGGTGAGGAGGCCTTATTGATGTAACATGTAGAAGGTGTCTCTGTGAGGAGGCCTTATTGATGTAACGTGTAGAAGGTGTCTCTGTGAGGAGGCCTTATTGATTTGTAACGTGTAATGTGAAGGTGTCTCTGTGAGGAGGCCTTATTGATGTAACATGTAAAGGTGTCTCTGTGAGAGGGCCTTATGAGTATAACATGTATGAAGGGGTCTCTGTGAGGAGGCCTTATTGATGTAACATGTAGAAGGTGTCTCTGTGAGGAGGCCTTATTGATGTAACATGTATGAAGGTGTCTCTGTGAGGAGGCCTTATTGATGTAACATGTACGAAGGTGTCTCTGTGAGGAGGCCTTATTGATGTAACATGTAGAGGTGTCTCTGTGAGGAGGCCTTATTGATGTAACATGTAGAAGGTGTCTCTGTGAGGAGGCCTTATTGATGTAACAGTGTAGAAGGTGTCTCTGTGAGGAGGCCTTATTGATGTAACATGTATGAAGGTGTCTCTGTGAGGAGGCCTTATTGATGTAACGTGTACGAAGGTGTCTCTGTGAGGAGGCCTTATTGATGTAACATGTAGAAGGTGTCTCTGTGAGGAGGCCTTAATTGATGTAACATGTAGAAGGTGTCTCTGTGAGGAGGCCTTATTGATGTAACGTGTAGAAGGTGTCTCTGTGAGGAGGCCTTATTGATGTAACGTGTAGAAGGTGTCTCTGTGAGGAGGCCTTATTGATGTAACATGTAGAAGGTGTCTCTGTGAGGAGGCCTTATTGATGTAACATGTACGAAGGTGTCTCTGTGAGGAGGCCTTATTGATGTAACATGTGAATGGTGTCTCTGTTGAGGAGCCTTATTGATGTAACATGTATGAAGGTGTCTCTGTGAGGAGGCCTTATGATGTAACATGCGAAGGTGGCTCTGTGAGGAGGCCTTATGATGTAACATGTAGAAGGTTTCTATGTGAGGAGGCCTTATTGATGTAACGTGTACGAAGGTGTCTCTGTGAGGAGGCCTTATTGATGTAACATGTAGAAGGTGTCTCTGTGAGAGGCCTTATTGAGTAACATGTAGAAGGTGTCTCTGTGAGGAGGCCTTTTGATGAACTTTAGAAGGTGTCTCTGTGAGGATGGCCTTATTGATGTAACATGTAGAAGGTGTCTCTGTGAGGAGGCCTTATTGATGTAACATGTAGAAGGTGTCTCTGTGAGGAGGCCTTATTGATGTAACATGTATGAAGGTGTCTCTGTGAGGAGGCCTTATTGATGTAACATGTAGAAGGTGTCTCTGTGAGGAGGCCTTATTGATGTAACATGTAGAAGGTGTCTCTGTGAGGAGGCCTTATTGATGTAACTGTAGAAGGTGTCTCTGTGAGGAGGCCTTATTGATGTAACATGTAGAAGGTGTCTCTGTGAGGAGGCCTTATGATTAACATGTAGAAGGTGTCTCTGTGAGGAGGCCTTATTGATGTAACGTGTATGAAGGTGTCTCTGTGAGGAGGCCTTATTGATGTAACTGTAGAAGGGGTCTCTGTGAGGAGGCCTTATTGATGTAAAATGTAGAAGGTGTCTCTGTAGGAGGGCCTTATTGATGAACATGTAGAAGGTGTCTCTGTGAGGAGGCCTTTATTGATGTAACATGTACGAAGGTGTCTCTGTGAGGAGGCCTTATTGATGTAACATGTAGAAGGTGCTCTGTGAGGAGGCCTTATTGATGTAACATGTATGAAGGTGTCTCTGTGAGGAGGCCCTTATTGATGTAACATGTAGAAGGTGGTCTCTGTGAGGAGGCTTATTGATGTAACATGTAGAAGGTGTCTCTGTGAGGAGGCCTTATTGATGTAACTGTAGAAGGTGTCTCTGTGAGGAGGCCTTATTGATGTAACATGTAGAAGGTGTCTCTGTGAGGAGGCCTTATTGATGTAACATGTAGAAGGTGTCTCTGTGAGGAGGCCTTATTGATGTAACATGTAGAAGGTGTCTCTGTGAGGAGGCCTTATTGATGTAACATGTAGAAGGTGTCTCTGTGAGGAGGCCTATTGATTTAACATGTAGAAGGTGTCTCTGTGGGGAGGCCTTATTGATGTAACAATGTATGAAGGTGTCTCTGTGAGGAGGCCTTATGATGTAACATGTAGAAGCGGTTGTCTCTGTGAGGAGGGCCTTATTGAATGTAAAACATGTAGAAGGTGTCTCTGTGAGGAGGCCTTATTGATGTAACATGTAGAAGGTGTCTCTGTGAGGAGCCTTATTGATGTACATGTAGAAGGTGTCTCTGTGAGGAGGCCTTATTGATGTAACATGTAGAAGGTGTCTCTGTGAGGAGGCCTTATTGATGTAACGTGTACGTAAGGTGTCTCTGTGAGGGCAGGCCGGTTATTGATGTAAAACATGGTAGGATCGGGTGGTCCATCTGTTGAGGCGGCGGTATATTGATGTACCATGTTGAAGGTGTCTCTGTGAGGCGGCCTTATTGGATGTAAACATGTATGAAGGTGGCTCTGTGAGGAGGCCATTTATTGATGTAACATGTATGAGGTTGTCTCGTTGAGGAGGCCCTTATTGGATGTAAAATGTAGAATGGTGTCTCTGTGAGGAGGCCTTATTGATGTAACATGTAGAAGGTGTCTCTGTGAGGAGGCCTTATTGATGTAACAGTGTAGAAGGTGTCTCTGTGAGGAGGCCTTATTGATGTAACATGTAGAAGGGGGTCTCTGTGAGGAGGCCTTATTGATGTAACATGTAGAAGGTGTCTCTGTGAGGAGGCCTTATTGATGTAACATGTAGAAGGTGTCTCGTGAGGAGGCCTTATTGATTTGTAACATGTATGAAGGGTGTCTCGTGAGGAGGCCCTTATTGATTGTAACATGTAGAAGGTTGGTCTCTGTGAGGAGCCTTATTGATGTAACAGTGTAGAAGGTGTCTCTGTGAGGAGGCCTATTGAGAACATGTAGAAGGTGTCTCTGTGAGAGGCCTTATTGATGTAACTGTAGAAGGTGTCTCTGTGAGGAGGCCTATTGATTGTAACATGTAGACAGGTGTCTCTGTGAGGAGGCCTTATTGATTGTAACATGTAGAAGGTGTCTCTGTGAGGAGGCCTTATTGATTGTAACATGTAGAAGGTGGCTCTGTGAGGAGGCTTATTGATGTAACATGTAGAAGGTGTCTGTGAGGAGGCCTTATTGATGTAACTGTAGAAGGGTTCTGTGAGGAGGCCTTATTGAGTACATTGAGGTGTCTTGTGGGAGGCCTTATTGAGACTTAGAAGTGTGTCCTGTGAGGAGGCCTTATGATTGTAAACTGTAGAAGGTGTCTCTGTGAGGAGGCTTATGATGTAAATGTAGAAGGTGTCTCTGTGAGGAGGCCTTATTGATGTAACGTGTAGAAGGTGTCTCTGTGAGGAGGCCTTATTGATGTAACTGGTAAAGGTGTCTGTGAGGGGGCCTTATTGATGTAACGTAGAAGGTGCTCGTGGGAGGCTTATTATGTAAATGTATGAAGGTGTCCGTGAGGAGGCTCTATTGATTACCATGTGAAGGTGGTCTGTGTGAGGAGGCCTTATTGATGTAACATAAGGTGTCTCTGTAGGAGGCTTATTGATGTAACTTAGAAGGTGTCCCCTGTGAGGAGGCCTTATTGTTGTAACATGTAGAAGTTGTCTCTGTGAGGAGGCCTTATTGATGTAACATGTAGAAGGTGTCTCTGTGAGGAGGCTTATGATGTAACATGTTGAAGGTTCTCTGTGAGAGGCTTATTGATGTACATGTAGAAGGTGTCTCTGTGAGGAGGCCTTATTGATGTACCTTCAGTAGTTGTATGAAGGAGAGTATGTGATGTCATTTATTATCTGTAAATTGAATAAATGTGGATTATGACACTGTCCCGCATCATAAAGGATAAACACATCCATACTTCCACTTTTTCATACTCAGCTCTCCCTTAGACAGAGATGGCAGGCACCCCGTGAAGGCCTCCCTTCACATCCCCCACCCCGTCAGCCGTCTAGGAGCCTTGGGGGACCAGATAAATCATCTGCCACTGTGTTGGAGGTGCCCGGCCTCAAACTTAACGTAGTGCACTATGTAGGGAATAGGGTGCCATTTGGGACGTAACCTCAACTTCACTCAGAATATAGTTATACCTAAGAGACAGCTATTGTAGTCTCAACACACACACACACACACACACACACACACACACACACACACACACACACACACAGCTGTCGACAATCTCTGGAAAGTACTAGGGCCCCCCTTGAGTTTCCTTTAATTCAAGAATTTTATGCTACTTCCACAAATACAAAACAGCTCCACCAAAGATCAGCCTTTGGGAATTACTCATCAAGGACTGTATTTTACTAAATACGAATTAGATACCACATTCATTGCAGCAAGCATCTTTATGTATTCAAATGAAAAAATAACTAATTAATGTATGTTCAATACAAGCATCTTTATGTATTAATAGAATAATATTTTTTTTTTTTTTTTAATTCAAAACAAAAGTCTACATATTGCTTGAGAAGGCTGCTCGGTTTTCCCAGTATGGTGCATTATGAATACAAAAGGTTCAGTTTAATAGATTTAGATGAAAGCAGATATCACTACTATATCGTCCCTCTTGATAATGATTATTCGCTCTAGAAAAAACAGCAAGAATAGAAATTCAACATCTAAAAGAATACACTACCAGTCAAAAGTTTGGTCACACCTACTCATTCAAGGCTTTTCTTTATTTTTTTACTATTTTTTACATGTTTAAATTGTTTAATAATATTGAAGACATCAAACTATGAAATAACACATATGGAATCATGTAGTAACCAAAAAAGTGTTAAACAAATCAAATTATATTTTATATTTGAGATTCTTCAAAGTAGCCACCCTTTGTCTTGATGACAGCTTTGCACACTCTTGGCATTCTCTCAACCAACTTCATGAGGTAGTCACCTGGAATGCATTTCAATTAACAGGTGTGCCTTGTGAAAAGTTAATTTGTGGAATTTCTTTCCTTCTTAATGCGTTTGAGCCAATCAGTTGTGTTGTGACAAGGTATACAGAAGATAGCCCTATTTGGTAAAAGACCAAGTCCATATTATGGCAAGAACAGCTCAAAGAAGCAAAGAGAAACGACAGTCCATCATTACTTTTAAGACATGAAGGTCAGTCAATACGGAAAATGTAAATAACTTTGAAAGTTTCTTCAAGTGCAGTCGCAAAAACCATCAAGCACAATGATGAAACTGGCACTCATGAGGACCGCCACATGAATGGAAGACCCATAGTTATGTTCATTAGAGTTACCAGGCTCAGAAATTGCAGCCCAAATAAATGCTTCACAGAGTTCAAGTCACAGACACATCTCAACATCAACTGTTTAGAGGAGACTGTGTGAATCAGGCCTTCATGGTCGAATTGCTGCAAAGAAACCACTACGAAAGACACCAATAATAAGAAGAGACTTGCTTGGGCCAAGAAACACGAGCAATGGACATTAGACCGGTGGAAATCTGTCCTTTGGTCTGATGAGTTTGCTTACTACATGATTCCATATGTGTTATTTCATAGTTTTGATGTCTTCACTATTATTCTACAATGTAGAAAATAGTAAAACTTTTGACTGGTACTGTACATACACACTTCAAACACACACACACACACACACACACACACACACACACACACCACACACACACACACACACACACACACACACACACACACACACACACACACACACACACACACACACACACACACACACTCACACACACACAGCTCCAACTAGGATGTAAAACCAAAAGACAATGAGAGACTTAGTGGTGACACATCTTCCTCTTGATCCTCCCTCCTCTCCTCCCTCGCCAAACGTCCCCTCGCAAAAAAAACCCATCATTATTAGTCTAAACAGTTTCCACCCTTTTAGCTTCGTCTAATCTGTATTTATGTTTATTTTCCGCTGCAATAGCTAGCAACGCTTTCACTCCCCAATGAAGCCAAAATAACACAGAAATACAAAAGCCAGATTAGTGTGAAAGCAAAATCTGTCATTTTCGTCTTTATCAATCTGGTCGACACCATGACTTCAATCTGGTTTGACCCCATGTCATGACATTTCCAGAACCTTCACCAAAACCATACAGTGCTGCTAAGTGTTCTTACCAGAGAGTGGGCCGGGTCAATGTTCATCTGTAAATAAAACCCAAATATTAGACCATTTATAGATGGGTTCAATCACATATAATGTATTACAATTATAAAACCTTTATATTATCGCACCAGTTATTCATCATTTTTATTTCAATTCACACCGATTTAATTACAGTATTACAGAGATCCAGTGTTTCCTCTTGGGGAAAATATCATGTTTTTATGGAGAAGGATTAGGCTCAGTTCTGGTGACTTTTTAAAAGGACAGTTTACTCCAAAATACAATTATGCTGACACCATCTAAAATATAATTTCCACCTCCAGAAATGAGCCCAATAACACATTGGTAAAATGATTAGCAATAAGAATTATGACCTGTAGACTTTCCTATCTGCATTCACCCTATTGGGCTAATAATTAGCTAGATCCCAAATGTGATATTTTAACTGGTTGGCATCCTATTGGTTAATTTTATGTCCCAAAAAATGTGCATTAATACAGTAAATATAATGTAGGTCTACCTGTTAGGGTAACTTGGGGTAAACCGCCAAACGGGGTAAAACGCTGTACTTCTCACAGAAACCACTTAATGTCACCATGTTCCCCCAACACTTTCTCTGGATGCCACTACTCTTGCTCAATTAAAAATGTCATCTGTCTCATCACAATTGAAGTCACTCCCAAAAAATGACGGTTGCGTTTTACCCCCCAAGTTACCCTTATAATTGACCCATGTTACATTTAACCTCAGTCTCCCCCTATTGTAGAAAAAAAAACATTCTGAAATTTCATGGCTGCTGGTTAATGTAACAATTTCCACCAGTCAACGCAGTCTTTTCTCTCTGTCTTTCCCTTAAATTGGACTGAGGCTAAGCTGGATGATGGCTTGTGTTAGCGCTGAGCTTGACTGACATTTGACAGTGAAGGGAGCGATTATGTTGAACTAACCCCACCTCCAGCTGGAAGAGGTCAACTGTGGTTTCAGCTGTCAAGCGCTCCAACGTTCACATGTCTGTCTGACGTCGCTCTCTCTCTCTCCCTCTGTCTCTGTGTCTCTCACTTTCTCCCTCTCTCTCCCTCTCTGTCCTCTCTCTCTCTCACTGTCTTTCTCTCCCTCTGTCTCTCACTCTCATTCTCCCTCACTCTCTCTCTCTCCTCTCTCTCTCTCGTCTCCCTCTCTCTCTCTCTCTCTCTCTCGCCCTCTCTCTCTCTCCCGCTCCCTCCTCTCTCTCCTCCCTCTCTATCTCTCTCTCTCCTCTCTCTCTCTCTCTCCGCTCTCTCTCTAGCCTGGCTATCTCTCTCCTATATCTTCCTCTCCTCTATCTCTCTCCTCTCTCTATATCTCTCTCCATCCCTCCCTCCCTCCCCCATGGTCACTTGTGTTGAGACTTGACCTGCAGCAGAACATTATTTACATACGATCCTGTCAGCGCATCCCCAAAATTGACCCTTTTATGTTTCTGGCCTGGTATGATCCTTCCTACCATCATGAAGAGCGTAGTTCAGAATGAATATCATATTTAATAGACTCTGTTTGTCACAGCTTACACTGCTGTTGAACTTTCAAAGGATGGGGTTGACCTCAGTTCAAGTGTTCATGGAAACTTTACATTGTAAAGCACATTTATAAATGGTGCAATGATGCGCTAAAGTACTGTGGGGGACGGGGACGGGGACGGGGACGGGGACGGGGACGGGGACGGGACGGGGACGACGCATGGGGGGGGAAAGGAGGAGGAGTAATGGGGGGAGGAGGAGGCATGGTGGGATTGCATTTTAATGTTAACACAAGCAGAGATTCAATGACATGCTGTGTAGAGAGAGAGCTCTGACGTAAAGGGTGTGCCATGCCAGTGTCCACCCCACCCCGGTCTCTGTATCAGTATCACTGTGTACTCTGAGTGCACTAAATAAGGAATATGGCCCCTGGTCCAAAGTAGTGTACTATATAGGGAATATGGGCCCTGGTCCAAAGTAGTGCACTATATAAGGAATATGGGCCCTGGTCCAAAGTAGTGTACTATATAGGGAATATGGGCCCTGGTCCAAAGTAGTGCACTATATAGGGAATAGGGTGCCTCTGTATCATTGGCTACTGGGAGAGATCTGTTCTCCTCAGACTGAATTTAACTCTAGTCTCACAATGACAGCTGCATGCTCTTGTCTTGTCTTGACGTATTCAGGGTCTGATGATCAGGTGGGTCTAATCAGGGCCTGATGATCAGGTGGGTCTAATCAGGGCCTGATGATCAGGTGGGTCTAATCAGGGCCTGATGATCAGGTGGGTCTAATCAGGGCCTGATGATCAGGTGGGGTCTAATCAGGCCTGATGATCAGTTGGGTTCTAATCAGGGTCTGATGATCAGGTGGGTCTAATCAGGGTCTGATGATCAGGTGGGTCTAATCAGGGTCTGATGATCAGGTGGGTCTAATCAGGGTCTGATGATCAGGTGGGTCTAATCAGGGCCTGATGATCAGGTGGGTCTAATCAGGGTCTGATGATCAGGTGGGTCTAATCAGGGCCTGATGATCAGGTGGGTCTATTCAGGGTCTGATGATCAGGTGGGTCTAATCAGGGTCTGATGATCAGTTGGGTCTATTCAGGGGGTTTTGATCAGGTGGGTTTTTAATCAGGGGGTGTGATCGGTTGGGGCTAATCAGGGGCCCGATGATCAGGGGGTCTATCAGGGTCTGATGACAGGGGGGTCTAAACCGGCTTTATGATCAGGGGGGTCTATTTAGGGTCGATGATCAGGTGGGGGTTAAACAGGGCCTATTTTAGACATCTGCTGGGGGAATTTCCCCCCCTCTGAGCGGCCTGACATTCTGATTGCGTGTTCTGATTCAGCAGAGCTTTTTAACCGCACACCACGTTCACACCTTGTTCGCCCCCAGAATTTTTTGGCAAGGATAGCGCATTCAAAAATTGGGGGCCTTTTTGTTGGGGAGGTTTTATGGTGTGGTCTCTGGCTTCTGGCTGTCTGAGAGATCGTTTTTAGGGGTGTCAATTAGCCAAATTTACTAAGCGGTGCGGAGGAAGGGGAGGAGAGGAGGGGGGAAGGGAAGGAGAAGGGGAAGGGGGATAGAAGAGGAGAAGGGGGAGGGGGGGGAGAGGGGAAACCCCCCTCTGCCCCCCCTTTGGGGCCTTTAACCCCGGGGGTCCCCCCCCCCTTTTTCCCCCTTTCCCCCGTTTTTTTTGGGGCCGGGGGGGTTTTTTGGGTTCCCGGGGAGAAAGGGGAAAAAAAAACAAGAAAAACCCCAAAAAAACCCCGGGGGGGGGGCCCCTTTGGGGGCCCCCCCCCCCCCCCTTTTTTTTCCCCCCCCGGCTTTTTTTTTTTTTCCCCCTTTTGGGAAGGGGGGGGGAGGGGGGGGCTCCCCCCTTTCTTTGTTTCTAACATCACACTAATCAGTAAGATACATGCTCCAATTATCACACATCAGATCCACTGCAGGGCCCAGTGACCAGGGGGCCCCCGGGCCCAAAAGGGAAAGGGCCCCTCTACCTCCCCGATACCCGTTCATTTGCATCCATAACCCCTGTAATCAGACCCTTTTTTAGATACCCCCCTAATAATTTGGGCCTCCCCCCCCCTTCTCTGGGGTTTTTGTCCTTTAAAAATCGGATGGATCGATACCTGCCACCACAGCTCAATAAACTCCAACCCTGAAACCTTAAAAAGTTTGGGTTTTTTTTCCTGCCCGGTGGCCCTGATGCCACATAAAGCCCAGAGAAGAGCCAAATAGCATGCTGAGTTAGTGCTTTAGCGCGACGGTTTGAATGGGCAAAATAGTACCTTTAAAATTTTTTTGGGCTATTTGGGATACCATACGTGAAGCTAACCTCTGACCCTGGGTTGTCCCCCAACTCCCACCCCCTGGGGCCTTATGATTTTTTCCGCATCCGCGCCCTTTTATGGTGTCCTGCAGTATATTTCTATTATTTCATTATGATACTCAATTTTTCCCTTTAAAAGGGGCCCTGCGATCTATAGATCCCTAGATAATTATCCTAATTGACAAGGTGGTAAAGCAACATCCTCACTCTGATAGATCACTTGAATGTATACTCTTTAAGCACAACTTGTAGGATATTATAAGTTTGTGACTGAAATCTCTAAACTCACATCCATGATTGTGATTGTTATGGAAAAGCATGGCGATTAATATAATAATGTAATTAATTAATAAAAGTTGCATACTTTGCTAAATGAAAACAGCTCCCAGCCCTTCAGTGACACCATTAAAGTGTTGATCTGACTCTGAGGGTTGTGCACCTTGAGAAAGAGAGGAGAGAGAGAAGAGAGAGAGGAGAGAGAGAGAGAGAGAGAGAGAGAGCGAGAGAGAGGAGAGAGGAGAGCGGAGGAGAAGAGAGAGAGAAGAGGGGTTAGAAAAAATTGACATAACCAGTGACCCATGCTCGGTGGTTTGGTAAGGGTGATGGTATTAAGGTTTGGGTTTAAGGAGGACGTCCCAAGGGATCAAGGATGCTGTCTGTGTCTGACTGTCTGTCTGTCTGCAGGGCTCTGGGGTTAGTTCTGTGATCCGAACTGGGCTCCTGTCAAGACGGACGGGGCCAGAGACGCGCCCGCCGGACGGGACAGAGAAGCAACACGAGCGCCAGAGACGAGAACAGAGGAAGCGCCGAGGGAAGAACCCGACGAGCCCGCGCGCCCGCGACGCGCAAGAGAAGAGCAAGAGACGAGAAAGAGAGCGACGGAACGAGCAACACGTGACGCGAGACCGAGACAGCGCACGCGGACAGCAAACGCTAAGAGCCCAGCGCGCGCAAGTCGAGAGGCCATGCGAAGCGCCGCGTCAGGCCCGAGACGACCAGTACGCGCAAGGGCGCGCCTCGACGAGCCCGCGACGTCTCCTAACGACTCGACCAGCTTCGATCCATCTACTCGGCCTTTACTATCCCTCACTCTCCCTTCTCTCCCTTAACATCTCCCTCAACCTCAACCTCGCTACCGCGACGCGCCCGCTGGGACGCAACCGAGCGCCCGTCGACGCGCCGCGAACGCGCCCGCGACGCGACGCGACGAGCCCGCGACGCGACCCGCGGGACGCGCCCCGAGGCGCGCCCGCGGACGCGCCGGGCGCGCCCCCGCGACGCGCACGGACGCGCCAGCGACGCGCCCGCGAAGCGCCCGCGGAGCGCGCCCGGAGGACGCGCCAGCGGCGCGCCCGAGAGCGCCCGCGACCGCTGCCCGCGACGCGCCGCGGCGGCGCCCGCGACGAGCCCGCGAGCGCCCGCGACGCGGCCCGCGACGCGCCCGAGACGCAACCGCGAGCGCCCGCGACGGGCCAGAGACGCGCCCGCGGCGCGCCAGAGTAAGCGCCCCGCGAACCACCGCGGCCAGCGCGACGAGCCGCCGACGCGCCAGCGACGCGAGCCGCAGACGCGCCCGAGACGCGCCACGCGGAGCTTCATAGACTCACCTCTCTCCCGCGACTTCTCCCGTAGGTCGCGGCCCGCTACGGGCCCGCGACGAAACCTCTCGCCCGGCTAGCCCGCGACTATCCTCGACTCAACCTCCCTGAAGTCGCCCGCGAACGAACCGCTCGCCCGCTGACTCTCCCGCGACGGCTGCTCCGCGGGACGCGCCCGGCGACGCGCCGAGACCGCCCGGACGCTCGCTTCTCTCCTCTCTACTCAACCTCTCTCCCTTACTCTCCCTCTTCTCTCCCTCTACTCAACCTTTACTCTCCCTCTACTCAACCTCTCTCCCTCTACTCTCCCTCTACTCTCTGTTGATGGAAAAATGCTTTATAAAATACATTTGATTGGTTTGATACTTCCTGACACAAAGTACATACAAATGTGTACATTTTTCAAAACAGTTATATATTTTTTGTTCCTCAAGGAAGGAAGTACTGTATCTCTTCATGGTTTAGCTTGTTGTGTTTAGTGTGTAGGTCTTGTGGTGTTTAGTGTGTAATTCTTGTGGTGTTTAGTGTTTAGGTATCGTGGTATGTGTGTAGGTCTTGTGCTGTTTAGTGTGTAGGTCTTGTGCTGTTTAGTGTGTAGGTCTTGTGCTGTTTAGTGTGTAGGTCTTGTTGTGTTGCAATAGTAAAACACTTTCCAATCATCAAGGCAGGTCCAGGGTTTATCTGGTTATGTTTAGTGCAGAGGAGGAGAACATCATGATCCTGTGGTGTGTGTTTGGATAAAAGATAACCTTTAAGGACTCATTCAAATCACCCCTGATTTGACTGTAGTTGTTTGGTCAAAGAGAGAGGATCCACCACGGTTTGCTTCAAACACCAAATTATACCTCCGATAGACAAATGTGTATTACAGAAGGGAAGTGGTGGACAACAGTAGGTTGACTCTGACAACCTACAGTATATAATATATATATACAGTGGAGAGAAAAAAAAGTATTTAGTCAGCCACCAATTGTGCAAGTTCTCCCACTTAAAAAGATGAGAGAGGCCTGTAATTTTCATCATAGGTACACGTCAACTATGACAGACAAAATGAGATTTTTTTTCTCCAGAAAATCACATTGTAGGATTTTTTATGAATTTATTTGCAAATTATGGTGGAACATAAGTATTTGGTCAATAACAAAAGTTTCTCAATACTTTGTTATATACCCTTTGTTGGCAATGACACAGGTCAAACGTTTTCTGTAAGTCTTCACAAGGTTTTCACACACTGTTGCTGGTATTTTGGCCCATTCCTCCATGCAGATCTCCTCTAGAGCAGTGATGTTTTGGGGCTGTCGCTGGGCAAA